CTGCCTCACCAAAAAAAAAAAAAAAAAAAAAAAAGGAAAATGTATAGAGCATACTTTCTATAATAGTATCAGAGGATACCAAATGTCTTATAATAAAAGGAAAATCTACAGAAATCCTATTAAGAGATTAAAAAAATGGTGGCTATGGCATGTTTATAGGTAAGAAGAATTAATCCCCTAAAAAGGCACACTCCAAACAAATGCAGATTCTGCTCAGTTTCACTTTATTATCACTATTCCCTATCTTTGGAAACAATGGATTCACTAAAATGGTCAGTAAAAATTCCTTACCAAATTAATAACTGCTGCCATCCTATCCCTACTTGCTGTTAATGTTAGAGTTGAGGCCTTTTTATACATGTGTGCTTGTGTGGTTAGCTCCTTATTTCCCACTAAGAATCCCACAGTAAGAATAATGCTTTGACAAATTACTCTTCCCTTTAAATGAGTCTGTATTTGTCTTGTGGAAAAAAGTAGATTCAGACTATTACCACACAAAGATCAATAGCTGGATAATTCCTATAACATGATATAGCACTTAAGGCTTTCTCACACTTGTCTGACTTAGTGCATTCAATTCCCTAACACTGAAGTTAAGAATCATTTAGGCCAGTGGTGACCCAAGGATGTCCTGAACTATACAGAAAAGCTGTTCATCCCAAATTCTAATCAGGCAGAAATTCAGGTAAGCCAACTGCTCTAAGCAAGGATAGAGTAGGACACCACTGTCCCACAACCTGACCTCACAAGAACAGATGCCATGCAGAATGACACTGAGGCTAGGAGGCAGCCAACTAACGAAGCATCTGTTTGGTCAGACACATAATCCTCCTCAAGATTTAAAGGGAGAGAATGCAAATCATTCACAGCACTGACTGGAAGGTCTAAGAGATTTTAGGACTAAAAAGCAACAAGATACTGTGCTTTCCTCAGATAAATATGCTTAAATAAGACTCATTTACTGAGTATATTAAGATGTGAGTATATTAAAATTTAGGAAAAGATCAAAGACATGCCAGAATTTTTAAAAAGGAAAAAGTATGAAACAACCTCAAAATCCTAGCATTAAAAAGGCTCTTTCCAATAAAATGAGAGCCAGGTCCAGTCACGCAAGTTTACATGGTTTCTAAAGCACATCAAACAGCCGATCAGGGCCAGGAGGGGCAGAACGCGCGCATCAGAACTCACTTTTTGACCTCTCGGAGCAGCATTCGGATAAGGATGGTCTGCAGTGGCTCAACCATCAATTTCCTCCACATATCCAAAGCTAGCTGCCAGGAAAAATAAAGATAGTCAAGACTGAATTTAGTTTTTCAACATTTGCTCAAGATTTAAAGTAAAAAAATATCCACCAAAAATATCTGTAGCACTTCATTTTTCTTTTTTTAGTTTTTTGAGACCTGGTCTCACTATGTAGTACAGGCTGGCCTCACAGTTGTGGCAATCCTTTTGCCTCAGCCTCCTGAGATTATTACAGGCATAAGCCACCACGCCCCGCATTGCTTCAAAATTCTAATGAAAATCGAAGAAAGATAAATTTCTATTTTAAAATGGCAATCACTATCATCCCAGATTTGTGCAAAGGGAGGCACTGACATTAATTAAAAACCTTACAGAAATAATGGACTTTTATAAAATGTTTATTGTTAAATGCTCAGTACTGTACAGACAGGCTATAGAAGCCAAGATGCTACAGAAAAGAATTTAACAAATAATTTGGTTTGGCTGTTGGCTGATTTTCAAAACACAAAATATCTGACACAAAACGAATTGGTTTAAATTACAAAGCAAAACACCCCTATGTTTACAACCTAGTTTTTTTAATTTTATTTATTTGTGTGTGTGTGTGGCCAGCTCAGCCCACCAGGGGGCGGGACTAGCTGGCATGTGGTGCTGGGGAATTGAATGGCCGTCCCTGTGCTTTGCTATGCTTGTTTTAAGTAGGTGCTTTAGACCACTGAGCCATCTCACCAGCCCCTACAACCTAGCTTAAGAAATCCACTTCCTCTTCCCTCCACCCCATGTGCTCCCCTCCTCCCGGAATTCAGGTTAAATTACTCCCTTGGGTTCAGTAGTTCTAACAACTGTGTGTTATGTGTGCATGCTGAGTAATACCTTCCATTCACCCACTGTGATCAGACAACAAATCACGTTGAATATCCTCCTACATCTGATTCATCGAAACTAAACTATCACTGAGCCCCACCACCACGTGGAAACACATGGCTACAGCTCAATCACTGACACCGCGGCGTGGGATCCCACACGAGAGTGCGCCATGATCTGCTCGGCGATATGTGTTAAGGATTCCAGTTTTCTGCTACAGAACCATGCTTCTATTCTTGTATATGTTTTCTGGCTCACATCACAAATTCCTGGTACACAGCTCCGGGTTGAAGCTGGGTTCGAGGTCAGGAACACATGGAGCTTTGCCACACTAGCTGAACGGCTTTCCAGCTTCACCCTCACAGTAATGGATGAGAACTCCCACATTTCTTCAACAAATGGTACTGCCAGGTTTCAGCCAAACTTTTGGTCTGTTGAATGTAAATGTCTCCCTGTGATTTTTAACTGGCTTTTCTTACACAAAGCTGAGCATTTTTTATGTTTATTATCCATCTTTTTCCTGTGAAATATGCATTTACTACTGTGCTCATTCTGTTAAAGCTGGACTCATTCTTAATGAAATGAAATTCTTTGCTAGTTGTAGAAATTCATTCCTTGACAGCATCACAACCCAGTCTGTCCTTCCTGACTTTTCAGTTTGCTCCTTGTAGTTGTCATAAAATATATCCTATAAGTGCTTCCCTGGCAAGCGCAAGGGACTGAGTTCAATCCCCAG